TAGCAGATGGGCTCCAATGTGGATACTGCTTGGATATTCATTGTATGTGCTATAGCTCACTTGATGGTTAGCCATAGAAGTCACGACGCAAGTTTTGTCCAATTTAGGACACATTGGCAACGGGAAATTACAAGTATCAATAAATAAAAACTGATGCCTGTTGGATAATAGGTGGCTACCGCGCCTCAGTGGGGGTAACGCTGTAGTGTTTGAAGAGACAGCTACTAAACTCGAGCCTCGATGAGGATACCACCACTCACTGGAATGCAGGTACATCCACCTGATGAGTCCTAGGTGGGGAGGAACGCGCGTCCTGGATTACCCACAACTAGCGACCAAGTAGATTATAACTTGGCCCTTATATTTACCCTTATCTTAAGCATTTCAGCGGGGGGGGGGGGTTCAATCATCCTGCACACCTATTATCAGTTGCAAATTACTATTCGATAAGATTTTTGCACTGTTATAAAGTATGAAATGTTATTCCTAAAAGATGCTACTAAAATTAATCATAAAAAATAATACGAAGTGAACAACTTCACCTTATCCAGTTGTACGAGAAAAATTAAGGTGGACTTAGAGTTTTCGCCGGTTATTTGTTCCACGTTGGGTTACAGATAGTACCGTGCAGTAATAAAAAGACCGAACTCACTCAGTTGCCTATCATATTGCCAGAAATTTTGTTATAAAAACAACACATCAAATGTATTTCTTTAAATCAGATAACACTGAACAAGTTTAAAAACTTCAGTACTGATGAGCTTCTCTTGAGCGAAAACCAGTAATGTAGTAGGTTGTGACCATTCTATGTAACGCTTCAAGTTGTCATACTTCATGTCGGTATATTGAGATGAAGTTAAACAACAGACAAAAGGAAATGGATAGAAATAATATTATCAGCAGGAGTGAAGTCATAAGACAAACATTCGGTCATTCTGAACGAATTTCCAACCTCATCCTGTTCCAGCTAGTATACTGTGTTACAGCACACAATAGATAGGGGGATGAATGATACATGCTCAAGTTACTTTTGTTAATGCAGACTTATAACCTCATCAACTGACTTAACTAAGACTTATACCTCTTATACGTATCACTAATTGGCAAAAGACAATAATACGTATTAACTTCCCGTCGAAACCTTGATCATCAAACCTGACTTCTCGAGTAAGCGTGTCTAACCACTCCGCTTTTTATTGTTAGAGAGGACACTGATGCATATCAATTCTGAAACAGCGACTTGCACTCAAGTGATGAAAAACGCATTTCAAACATACTTCAATTACCGCTGACGTTGAGTGTTTTCTTCTTGGCTGGAAACAAAGTAAATTAAAGAATCTTTGATGTAGTGGTTAGTTTTAACGAAACTAGATGAGCTGTCTTCGTAAGTGCATCAATGACAACGCTAATTAAAATGAAGAGTGGATATAACTGAGACACTAATAAACGTGTACATCTCAGATGACAGCTCGTCGTAGGCTCTGACAGGACTTTGGGCATTAAGACGCAGAATCTTCATTGACATGTCCCCGTGACATTATTTATCATAATGAGACACTAGCGCAAGACCAATTAAAGTATATATGGACGTTGCTGCACGACAAACAAAAGATTTCCCTCTAAACCTAAACAAGAAGCTAGTTGAAATCGTTTTTGTACAGTGGTAAACATGCGCGATTTCCTAACATGTTACCATCTGCCTCCATGCAACATAGTTTATTTATTCGTACCCGTTTTCCAATACAGAACAATATAACATTAGTGATGCTTTCTCCCAACAAGTTACAACCATATTTATTAGTAAAAGTATGTGAATTCCGAGGACTCAAAGTTTCCTTAGAAAACTCAGTGACGTGTGGAGAAACATTTTTGCACGGAAACTTAATGGGACATAAGTTAACTAAGCTTAGAAACGTGTCCACGACACGACATTCAACACTTGCAAAAAGGGAACTAAAATTTTGCTCAACCCTTAAGGCGAAAACAGGCCTGAGTATTGCTCACGCACTGATTTTAGGATACACATCAATATGGTGAAAGTAGTAGTTACTGGATATACTGTGTCACCTAGTTGTTCAGGTTACGACTGTTCTTTTTAGGGGTTTATCAGGATTCGTCCACTGTTTGTTAACAGGTACAACACTACAGTACGCACGCGTTACACCTCTAACCGATCTAGTTGTGCTCAGTTGAAGTTAAGAGCGTGACAACTAGCATTATGCGTTATAAAGATATCTCCTACGTAGAAGACCAGTTATTAGAATTGAAGTGATGGAGATGACCTACGTATTTATCTAAATACTTGTGAAGCAGAAACATATAACGAAAACAAGGTTGTATTACGGACACATTAACTAATCCATCCAGTTTTTGAGCTTACTGCATATTGGAGCTTAGTAATAGGAAACTGTTGTTAGATACATGAGGCATTCCATAACGTCACTAAGATATATAATTGGAAAAAGGAAACAAATCCTGTCATATGTTGCTGTGTATAAGTTAAACTTTTCAGTATATATGTAACATATTGAGCTAGTTCAACAAGTGCTAAGAAAGAGTTCTAGCAGGATACTTCGAAAGGAAACAGCTGCAACCTGCCTTAGTCACATAAAACTGTGCATAGGGCGAATATAGAGTCTACTTTACAGTCAGGGTGTTTTTTCTATTTCATATAGATACATACAAATATTTCACCAGTCAAACTCTTAGGTAGAAGAAAAACGTGACTCAACACCAACGTAATTTAATGCACTAGTTCTCGACGGGGCAAATCCGAGTAGGAAAACTGATATGCTTAACTGATTATGTAGGCACCTTAAAGCGTTGTCTCAGATCAATTGATTGTTTATTTCTGATGACTAATCACACTAACAGATGGGTTTCAATCATTTGACGCACTACAATATTCTACTGAACAGATGATGTTATTAAAATCCTGATAACAGAACAAACAAAAACACTTCGACATCACATTAACAGGACCAATTAACCTTCTATGTTTGCACACTAAACTATGAGCGTCACTGAAGGGATAACCAACTTGAACAAGCACACCAGGGATGTAGTATAAAAAAAAAATCAAAGCAGAGTACATAGTGTTTGTTCTGATCAAGCAACTGTATTCCGCATCGTATACGCCTCTCTACATTTTAGAGTGCTTTTCATACTCCACGTCCGAAGATAATTATGGAGTCTAGGATACCTACGGATGGTAGTGACTGGATTGTAAAAATCTAACTCAACAGGATAGGTTCGTTGACAACACTGTGTGTTATGAGAATCACACGCTTTTTAAGTGAACCAACACACATTCAAAACCTATAACTTAATCACGAAGTATGCTAATCCACTAAATAAGTAGTCTTTGCTCGCAAAATACCTTTAAACTCGACCAGTCCACATCTTACAATGACTCTACGAGCCACGCAGATGGAACGCTTGCGCGTTCCAGGACCTACCATATCAGAAAGGTCAGTTGGATAGTGGGAAAACAAAAAGGCAGCCACTGTGATAGTGCAATTGTTACGCTACGATGGGGGAACTGAAGGCAAAGTGGTACTACTGACTGGAAGCGCTTTCAATAGCAGTGAGTTGCTTCCAGAAGTGCCGTGACAACTTCCATATGAAGGAGGGATAGGAAAATTCAGCTCTAAAAACAGCACCCTTCTCAACCCTGTCGTATGGATAAATAGATGGGTTCGACAAAAATCTTGAGCACCTAGGAAGGCTGTATATGACCAGCCGCAAGCAGATACTGGCTGGGCTCTGTGGTTACATACCACTAACACCAACTCTTGTTTTTCAGGTACGTCAAAACAACCTTTTATGTGGGCACTCGGGGAGTATTAGCCACCTTCATATCTGTCACCGCTCAAGTCCTCTATTCTGTACAAATAATAACGGATCCTAACAAACTTTGTAACTGATTTATAAACTCACCACAATTTCATACTGATTAACTCTGGTCGCATTTCAAAAGCTTCTTATGTAACCGACGAATACACTGGTTTCTTAATTATTCTAGCCATTTTTGGCAGTCACCCACTGAATGAATACCAGAACTGACTATGCAACGTGTCCATGCATTGCTATAGGTAACTTTCAGATAGAGAGGACTCAAACTATTTGGTAGGATCTACTGCTTCTGATGACTAGTATACTACAGTAGTGGAACTTAGCACAGATGACTCAACTGCAATCAACCTGAACATTTTTATTAACCTTAATATATTTATATACCCTTTAACTGGACTGTACTTTGATCTTTTTTTCAATCTTTTTCTTGAATGGTGCTGCCAAGTGATAGCTTGAAGTGGTGGACTATTGATGGCAACCAATCCCGATGCATAGTCTTTAACCATACAAAATTACAAGTCATCTAACGAAAAAAGGGGCACTTGCACTGTCGTTTGACCGCTCAACAGCACATTGGTAATTCCAATGAGGAATGAAACCAACACGAATTCCGATAGCGTGTGTCAACAGCATAAGACTGATTACTGTGAATCGAATGGTCGGACGTACAGCATCTCAAGTTTGCAGCGGAAAATTCACCCACTATCGGTGAAAAGCTGATGGGAGTTTAGTAAGTAGTAGTCAATTCAGGTACCTAAACACTATCACTAGATGTCGTGCCGTCAACACATACACCAGACTATACAACGAAACCACGATATTTAGGACTAATGAGTACTAGCATACAGTCGTTCTTGAGTAGCAGCAATGAACGACCGTAGAGCTGAGACATATTGCGACGGGTAGACCAATATGCGAGCACATATGGTGTAATAGTCGTAAAATAAAGGCATACGAATAAGATTTGGACGCTTGAAAAGAGCTGAATGACTGAAAGTAAAACCAACAGGAGGGTTTGACTTGAACCGCATCAATATTCGTATAAACTGTGGGCGGAAATCTGATGGATATGCAGACCTATCAGATTATACAACACGAAGGCAGGCGAGAAAACTGTCTATCCACAAACTTTATTGTAAAATTATTTACATTTTATTTTCCGAATATGGTGCAGTTGGTATTACCTCTTCTTTAGCGGCCAAGATTGTAACAGAGTCAGGCAAAGGTTTCCGTGGACCCTTTTTGCCAGTACTATCGTGATCCATCATAATTTTCACTTTGATTCCTAGTATACCTAAAGAAAAACATAGATCAATAAGATCTGTGCCCATTTTCCTAACAGCCTTGATGACTGAAAAACGACTCACCTTGAGGAAGTTGTACATGACGAACAGCTCTGTCAATGTAATAGTTAACTGGATCACCAGAGTGAATCATTAAGCCATCACAAAACTTCATAGCCTTAGCTCTTTGACCTTTGATTTTACCAGATACAATAACTTCAGCTCCCCTAGCTCCAGACTCCATTATGAAACGCAGGATACCATAGCATGCTCTGAAAATAGTCTTGAAATGAAATTGTATTTACTTGCGAACAGGCAAACCATAAGTAAGTTTGTATCTGAGAGACTCTGCTTGTGCAATAGCACTTAGACCGCGGAAAGTCATTTTTTCTGCGAATAATCCAAGAGTACCTTCGGGAAATCCGAACCGCTTTTGCAATACGGAGGTGAGTTCTCGAATACGACGTGATCCTTCCCCGAGAACACTTTGAGTTTTTGTAGCTAATATGATAACTTCTGTATATTTACGGCTTTCCCGTACTTGAAACCCGCTGTAACCATCGTCAGCTAATTCACGCTTTAGAAACTCATCCAGTTCAGCCTTGAACACTCCGGCTTTTATGAACTTGATTGTTTGACATAAGTTAATATAACACAACCAACCTTCCTCTTGAGAGAGATTTTCGCCGTGTTAGCCATACTCGACAAGGGTTTTCGGAAACAACAATTCCCGCTTTCACGACGCAATCAACTAGGGAGCGCAAACCAATTACAAGGAAGAACAAACACGTAGGTGATTCAATTATCTAGTAGTCTACTCTTTTGATGTGTATGGTACGTGACTTACATGCTTCCGATCAGCTGAGAATAGACTCATGACTCTGACATTTTAGTTCCATATTTCTGAGGGGGAAAATCCAATCGGGCTTTATGAAGGAGGCCAAGTGAGCTCAAGTTACTTAAGTTCATCAATAGTTTTAAAAGGGTGCAAGTAGAACAGAAAATGACTTCACCTGACTGAGTTCCGCATTTAGAACTTTTCAGTGTTAATTCTATGGACAAATAGCGAAACGAAAGCTGCTGTTACGATAAGAAAAGCAGGTGAGTCTTGATTAGCCTCCCGCTCACATCATTAGTAGGCGTTTAAAGGGTCCAGAAGAAGTAAATCGGACCATTTTTATCGGAAGAGTGCCCTGAGATTTAACAACCCCCAGGAGATAAAAGCTGTGCCTGACACCTTATCCGCCATTTTCTAGGCTTACGTACGGTGTCACTTGGAGTTGGTTTTGGAACCAAGGTTAAGTGGGTGACGGAGTGGGTGTCTAAGAGTGTCCACGACATTTCAAGCCATTTACAAAGCCCCCCACGGTCTACCATAATCCAGGGGATAAAGACCAAGTGCTGCCAGTCGTTCCTCAATTGTTGCCATGAAGGAATAAACAACGCTTTTGCGAGGGAACAATCTTGGCATCGAGAAACACGGGGTTCATTGTCGGCTGTAGGGTAAAGAAAAGAAGTTCAGCTGGAGTCATTCTTTGTAGGACAGGTTAACACGAGTGACCCTCCACTGAACTCACTTCTCATGCGAGCATTTACCGCCTGTTCACATTTTTCTATTTTAGATCTAACTAGAGATTTATAATATCAGGTGGCAAACATCACCACTTGGTTTTGCAAGAGCTATGTGCAGTATGTAGGGTGCTTCAAAACTCCTCGCTGAGATCGTCCGACAGTACACAATTGTCTTCAAATCCTGACTTACTCTGACTCACTGTAAGGGCAGGGGTGTCCCAGCAACGTCGAAAGTGTCTTGGTTTACATGTCCCATTTGAATGTTGACACACTTGCGTTGATGAACTTCAGCTAATTCTCTGACCAAGGTAACAAAGCACCAGTTGTTTTGGAGTATACGTGAATCTGCGTCACTCCAAATTCCTCGCCTGATACTTGCGTCAGAAGCGCTGAGAACCGCTAGCAATTTCATGGTATTCGGCAATTCGTTCACGTAAAATATAAGTGGTAAAGGACCCAGGACTATCGATCCTTTGCCATTTCGTTTTATTCCAAGGGGTTAGAAAGCCTACACCATGATATATCCCCAAGTGTGCTCTGAAATCTGGTCACAAACTAATCAAGTGGAATACCCCTGGATGATTTCTAAGTCGCTCGAACTCTTTTGAAGTGAAAGGAGGAAGGCCATGGTTCTGAAATCCAGTCGAAACCATGTAGAGTAGCTAATTACCCGGTAAAAGTGCCTCCGCTTACACTATCCAAGGGTCTGTAAGAGTTGAAGCACCGTATTAGCGCAAAATGCATTTCTGCAGGACTTGGCGTTTAATTGGTGATAATGATAAACTAAGACCCCAGAGTTCCTTTCCAACTGAAAACCGCTTTAGGTATGCATGAAAAGTGGTGATACGGAAGAAGTGCCTTTTAATTTTCAAAATCGACTGCGGTTGGTTCAGTGTAGTGTGCCCAATTCTGGATCATATCTAATCATTTGACAAAGCTCACCATTCGGATTTCTGACTGCAACCTGTAGATATACAACATCAGCGAGGAGGAGAATCCTGGATCTTAGCAAAGGTAGATCGTCACTGTATGATGAAGAGGTACAAATATTGGGTCCCGAGCGACCGATGTTAGGGATCTCCTTTTTTAGACATGGCGTAGTTTCCTCGCACCCTGAACATGAGGTGACTTAAGTATAACATCCAAACCGTTAGTGGCAAATCAGCTCCTACAAACATCGGCTTTTTGATGAGATAAGACGCGAAACACCTACAACGGCCCCAGATTCGGTAATCTATCGATCTGCCTACGGCAGCGAATCGTCGATACATTTCTCTAGTAAAACTAACGGCAACAAGAGGGAGCGGCGTACGGATGAGTGATGATATGTCACTGATGACGCCTGTGAGGTCGACAAGCGGCTGGCATAACTCGCGACGCGAAGCATATTGCTACCCTTACCAAGCCTGAGGTACGTGGCCTGCTTAGGGTGGGGTACAGATAGTGTGAAATTCATTACCTCCACGTTAAGTGACTTTTTGTTTGAGATCGCGATGCGCGTCCGCACGGGATATTATTCCAGAACCCTGGGCCTGGAAATGAATCGGTGATTTGGCATTGGAAACTCCAAAGTGTTCGTTTCTTCGAGTCTGGGTTGCTGTTGGGGCTAGAAATGACGCTTGTCCATCTGTCAGCATTGGCCAATGACTCAATATCTTCGCGTTCCGCCATCCGCAGTGCAAATGAAGGGCCTAGGCACATGATTCAGCATTTTGCTTTGGCGTAAACACACACAGAACGCAAGGTCTTTGACAGAGTCCATTACTTCTTGTACGTTTTGAGTCTTAGTTGAGTCACTGAGCAAAGCATCCGGGATTTTCCTTAGGATGTTGAGCCCTGTGGAAAACAACATTCTACCTCTGCGACTGCAAGCGGACTTGTTCTCCCTGAGTTGACACAACGTGAAGTTGCACACGAGTATTTACTGAATTGAAAATACTTGTCGTCGAGCGAAACGACATGTGCTTCTATTCCATACTTATCGACTTCTAATATTTCATACGACTCCTTTTTAGATGAGTCGAGAATTAGAGGCCGTTCGATTTGGCCTTGTACATGCGGCTGCTAAGCAAAATGATGGAAAACTATTATAGCTCGGGGTGGGGACGATACTGGGTGGCTGTCTTCCTGGGTTTTATGTTTTTTAAAAGCTGAGAGACACAACAGTGACCTCAAGTAGAACCTCGTTCCCGCGAGGGTATGTGGGTTATGAAATGCTCCACTGCAGAAAGTGGTTACAGCCTCTTAATCGAACTTATCCAAAAGGTGGCTAGACAAATTTGGTTTTTCGTATGGTTTACTGGGGTGTACTCAAAACCTGGTGATAGAGACGATGCCACAGCAAGCGAAAAGGTCCAGTACACTACCCCCACGCTCAGGGAACTGAACGTGCCGCTTCCACCCATAGACACTTACGGCAGTAAGTAATGCACTAAAGCGTTATGGGCTGCAGCCGGCTTCCCGGTTAATTTTCGAGAAGTCGAATTTCGTTGTGATCAGTTTAAGGCCAACAGTAAGGTAGGCGGGTGGGCAAATGATCCAGCGCAAATTGTACCCGTTTCGTCTTTGAATATGGTGCTGCGTACGTAAATTTTATGGGGGTTTTATGGTAAATAAAGTTTGTGACAACGCAGAGTAAATCCGGTAGAGCATTTTGGTGCACCATCTTCAATCTTATTTACCGTGGCAGGACTACACACATCGGCGAAGCAAGCCCCCGCAGGCCCGTTAGGGTTAGGTTGGTGCTATAAAAGGTGTAGTAATCGATGCATAGCCCTACGTCTAGGATTGAGATGCGACACCTCTATTCAGTGAATAGCAAAGCTTCAGGTATGGCCAACATAACTGCTTTTCTTAGTTCACATAGCCTCCCGGGGGACGAGCGTGAATTAATAAGCTGGGGAACAAAATTCCCCGCGGATTATGAGGTGGCTCATACCTGCTGAGGAGCACGGTCGATTGGAAAGGTTTTCTCAGCCCAGTTCTTTCGGTGATAAGCCAATTATGTGACGGACGTATTAAGACCCAACGGTGGGGTGTAGCGGTGTGACTGGTGAGTTTCTGTCGTCCAAGAACTAGGGAACATTCGGTTTTTCAAAGACTTTGTAGGTCGCGACAAGCTACTCTTTCCTACTGGTCGTGTAGCATGTGGCTTATAACTGGCGTAGGCCGGGGAAGTTAGTTCCACACCATTCTTACCAAGGGGTGAATCGATCATAAGCACCGTTGGTCGTACATGCTGTATATAATCGTAAAAAATCCCAGTGCGGTTTGTCAGTAGGAACGTCGTTAACCGAGGACGTATTTATGTTCCCACGGTATTATCCGGGATTACTGAGGTGTGGATGTGAATTTACGTTGGATGGTTGTAACATGTGGGTTGTTCTCGCATGAGATATGCTGTACGGTGTTACATTATAGCGCATGTGGTTGAAGAGATGACATCTAGAGGGATGTTTCGTGTGAGAGAAATTTGAACTGTTGTGGTATCTGTTCTTAAGGGATGCATCTCGGTGAAAAACGTGCCTTCTGGGTCTATTTTGAAAAGACGTTATCCGCAAGTTCTTTTTTATCATAAGGCAGGATGCGTCGAGAGTAATATTACTTCAAGAACTTCGCAGGTTCACGGGACGAGGTTTTGGCTACAGGTTTTTGCATAGCGACTTTTCTGTCATCTGACGTGTATCTGTCTACGGGAGCTGGTACCACCGGTTACGATTTCATGAGAAACTGAACTATCCAGTTCATTAGCACCTTCAGGCTACCGTAGAGAAAAAAGTGGGCTCAGTAGGATTGTCAGTACCATAAACCTTATTCGATGGCTTCTTCATGCACGCAACATCCTCTGAGTTTACAGGCGATGAAATGACCGGACTAGTTCTGCTATGTTTCTCACACTGATATGAAGTTTCATCTTGCTCAACGGCAGTAACTAACAACAATGGTAATTTTTTCGAATGATAAATTGTACCAGTAGATGCTGTTCTGGAGATAATATGTCGATGTTGTGGTTCTCAATGAAGCTGAGAAAGTTTAGAAAAACAAATCGTAGCACCATGTATGGCCTTTCAGAATATTCACCTGTTTGGATATTACTGGTCGCAAATATTTAGTATAAGCCATTTGGT